CCCAGGGAAAGTGTCTGCTTAGTTCATCCGCTGTGGTGTTCATCACTCCGGGAAGATAGGTAGCTGATACCCGGATGTTGTTCGCAAGGCACAAATTCCAGAGCTTCATAGCCTCTGTGCAAAGCGAGTGGGAGCGAGCTCCTCCCTGCCTGTTTACATAGAACATGCATGCAATGTTGTCTGTCATTATGCGTGCATGGTGATTCCTGATTAGTGGGAGGAAGTGACAGCACGCATTGCGTATGGCTCGAAGTTCTAGGACATTTATGTGCAGAGAGGTTTTGGTTGAAGACCATAGCCCCTGGACTGTGTGGTGAGACATGTGTGCACCCCAGCCTGTCAGAGATGCATCGGTCGTCAGTATGAGGGATGGTTCCTCCTGAAGAAAGGGGACTCCAGAGCAGAGGTTGGAGTGAACTGTCCACCACAGTAGAGAATCTTTGACTCGGAAAGGTATGGAGAGAGTCTTGTTTAGAGAGTGCACATTTGGTCTGTAAATGGTGCCCAACCACGCTTGGAAGCACCTCATGTAGAGTCGTGCATTTTGGACCATGAAAGTGCACAAGGCCATGTGACCTAGTATTTGTAGACAGTCTCGGACAGTCACCTGGGGACTGCTGCGAAGTTTTGTGGCCGGTAGGCTTATGGAGCTGAAGCGGTTGGGTGGGAGAGATGCCGATGTCGTCCGGGAGTCGAGATATGGTCCTATGAACTCCAGATGTTGGGTGTGGCATAATGTGGATTTGTTTTTGTTTATTTGCAGGCCTAGAGATAGGAAACAATCGACGGTGAGCCGCGTGGATCGGAGAGCTTCGTCGAATGTTGAGGCTTTGAGGAGGCAATCGTCGAGGTAAGGAAATATTACGACCCCTTGTTTCCTGAGGTGGGCAGTGACTACGGCTAGGAGCTTGGAAAAAACACGGGGGGCCATGGACAGTCCCTGTATTGGAAATGTGTTGAGCCAAGGGTAAAACGGAGGAAGCGTCTGTGGGCCGGGTGTATAGTCACATCAAAATAGGCGTCCTGTAGGTCGAGGGCTGAAAACCAATCGCCCTGCTCCAGTGCTGGGATTATGATGGTGAGAGTAACCATCTTGAACTTTTGCTTTTTGACAAATTTGTTGAGCGCCTGAGGTCGAGGATTGGTCGCCATCCCCCAGTTTTCTTTTCTGTTAAGAAATAATGGGAGTAAAAACCCTTCCCTTTGTGTCGTTCTGGCACAATTTCTATTGCTCCCAGTTGAAGGAGATGTTGCACTTCTTGGCAGAGTAGTTGCTCGTGGGAAGGCTCCCTGAAGAGGGACAGGGAGGGTGGGTGGGTGGGAGGCAAGGAGAGAAAGGGGATGGCGTATCCAATTGTAACAACCTCTATAACCCACTTGTCGGAGGTAATGTTCTGCCATTGATGGGAGAATGGTTGTAGGCGGTGTCCAAAAATAGGTGTGCTGGTTGAAGTGGGAACGCTGTTTTCTAAACCCTCGACCAAGGCTTCAAATCTGCTTATTAGTTGGAGGGGGTTGAGGCGCCCCCGCAGGATTGGGACGACGACACTGGAATCTCGGTCTCTGACGTTGCTGTTGTTGTTGTTGCTCCTGTGGTCTATGGAAGTGTTGTGTATATGCGGGGTAGCGTGGGCATTGGTAAGGTTGATATCTATTGTCGTCTTCTGGTCGTAGGTGTCTGGAGACCTAAGGACCGGAGGGTTGCCCTTGAGTCCTTCATTGAATGAAGCATGTCGTTCGTGGTGGAAGCAAAGAGTTTGTCACCGTCAAAGGGAAGATCTTCAATGGTACTCTGGACCTCTAGAGGAAAGAAAGAGGAAGAGAGCCAGGAACCTCAGCGCATGACCACTGCTGTGGCGGTTGATCTTGCTGCAGTATTGGCTACATCGAGGGCCGCTTGAAGAGCAGTACGTGATATGATTTGTCCCTCAGAAACCAGAGCTGTGAATTGTTGTTCTTTCTGTTCTGGGATGTCATCAATAAAGTCCATGAATTTATTATAGTTTCTGTGGTCATATTTTGCAAGAACTGCAGTATAATTAGCTATACGAAATTGTAATGTTGAGGTTGCATATACTTTACGACCAAAGAGGTCCAAGCGTTTACTTTCCTTGTTAGCCGGGGTGGAGCGGGAATACTGTTGTTTGGTCCTTTGGTTCACTGCGTCTACTACCAACAAGTTTGGCGCCAGATGGGTAAAAAGGAATTCAGAGTCCTCAGAAGGGATGAAGTACTTGCGGTCCGCTTGTTTACAGGTAGGTAGGCTTGTAGCTGGAGTCTGCCAGATGGACTTAGCAGGTTCTAAAAGGGCTACGTTGATTGGTTATGCAACCCTAGAGGAAGAAGAGGGCTGTAGGATGTCCATTAACTCATGCTGTTGTTCAGGGACTTCCTCCAAGTTAATTCTCAAGTCACTGGCAACTCTTTTAAAAAGGTCTTGGAATTTTGCGTAGTCATCCGACGGTGTTGGAGGAGGGGGAAGTAAGGCTTCTTCAGGCATTACCTCCGGCTCTACTGGAATAGGAGCAGGACTTGGTTGATCCTGTAAGTGTGACGGTGCTGCCTGGTGTCTTGTGTCATTGGCAGCTTCGTCAGGTGGTGGTGCTAGACCGGTGTTGCGCCTGGTTGAGGTGGACTAGCGCGTGTGTTCTCGAGGGTATGATGCCCATGGTGACCAATATTGCCATGGTGGTGGGTAGGGCATAGGTGGTGCCATCCAGGGGTTCACCGCCCAGGGGGCAGGATCCTGAGAATAGGATGAGGTAATTTTTCTATAACCTCTGTTGACTGGGGTCTGGGGATGGGAGTCTTGACACGGTGAAAAATCCCCCTGTGGTCCAGCTTCCTCCTCACTGGAGGAAGGCTGTTCAGACCCTGACTCAGCCATTGGAGAGAAGCAGGCATTCAGCAGGGGAGACTGCAGGATAGGTGACACAAACAGATCTCTTGCCTGAGTAAATTGAAGTGCTGAGGCTCCTGTGTGAGGTGAAGGCTGTGCAGGAGGAAGTTGCAGTGAGGGAACATTCCTCTGAGCCAGGGTTTTGATTCTTGGCTCACTGCCAATCAGCTCCACGGGTGCCGGTGCCATGGCTGGTGTCGGGAGGGCAACATCAGCCTGTAGGGGGTCAGGCAGGTTGTGGAATGTCGGCACCGGGTCCGTCGCGGTGCCGAACGGTGCCAGAAGAGAGGCAGGCAGCTGGAAGCCTGAAGCCTCGGCACCGGAGCCTCGCGCCGCCGCCGCAGCCTGAGGCAGGTTTCGCGCGGTGCCGGAGGAGCCTGGCTCATCAAAGGTGCTCAGGCGGGGAAGCACAGGCAGGGAAACTGTTGATCTGCCTAAAGAAATCTTGTGCCTCCTAACCTTCTTTGGTGAAGAAGGTGGCCCTTTTTTTTGTAGATTTTTTTAGCTTCTTTGAGGCGGGGGGGCTGCGTCGGGCAGCGGAGCTGGAATCAGCACCTGGGTCTGAAACTGACCCCAGAGATTTTTGAAGGAGGAGCAGTTTGAGTCTAAGCTCCCTGTCCTTCCGTGCCCTGGAACTAAGTTTGCTGCAGTGGGCACATCTTTGGGGAATGTGGGCTTCCCCCAAACAGTTTATGCATTGTGAGTGGCCATCAGACAGAGGGATAGCCTCCTTGCGGGTAGAACAGTGCTTAAAGCCTGTGGAGCCAGGCATATCCAAAGCGGCTGCGGCTTACAGGAACAAAATATTTTTTTTTTTTTGGTAACAGATAAAAGTGGTAA